GCATACCGCTTACATGTCTGCCACGAATAGAAAGCGCCTGCTTATCGGTTCCAACTTAAAACAGAAGCACGCGGGCTAGAAATCTTAGGGCCGGTCCACAATAGCCCGGAGGGTCCGGAGACGAGGGTCGGTCTAGCGAGCGGGATCGGACCCAGTGTGGCGGAACGCTCGCCGACCGGCGGTCACATCTGAAACCGGGCCGTCCGGGCTCGCCCATCCGTCCGTCGGAAGGATGAGCTAGGTCTATCTTTCTGGTTGTCCGGCCGCACTCCCCCCCCCCCCCCGCGGTTCAATGTGTGTTCAGCGCCGCCGAAACATGCCACACATATGTGATGCATTGGTGACGAGCGAATATTGCAAGAACGTCGGGAGAACGGTGTAATACTTCCTAGCGGGTGTACTGCATTCGCCCGCAGCTCTATGAATGCCCTCCTTTTCGAGCAGCACACAAATCAACCCCTGTGTGCATCACGAACGACCGCATTGACCAGTAATCCGAGGCCCTGAGAGCTCTGAATGGTGGATCCTGCTCATCAGACAGCTATATAAGTGTAAGGCTAGGGCCAGCAGGTGCGGGAAGTTATCCAGCTACACACGCCGTGCCAGCAGGGGCGGGAAGCTACCCGACTACACATGCTGTGCCAGCAGGCGCAGGAAGTTATCCGGCCACACACGCTGTGCCAGCAGGTGCGGGAAGTTACCCGACTACACACGCTGTGCCAGCAGGTGCGGGAAGTTACCCGACTACACACGCTGTGCCAGCAGGCGCAGGAAGTTATCCGGCCACACACGCTGTGCCATCAGATCAAGCGCCCCTTGCTGATGCCTGTTCTGCGTATAGCGTGCATCGTCATCCTGATGGTGCCGGCAAACTTCGTGATGAGCTGCACAGTTTCGGTGCAGCTCAGGAAGTCTCTTGTGGTTTCTTTCCTCGGTCGTATGCGGGAGCACTGGCGGCATTACCTATCTTCATTAACGCGTTACAGATGAGAAAACTTTACGCAATCCCTGCTTACGAAGCAACCTTGTTTGACGTGCTCCCAAATGCATAGGGAGGACTTGCTGCTCGTTCTTTATAAAGCTGCCTCGCCCGCTATTGGACGGTGAAAACACTCGATGCCGCAGTGGCGGTGCATCCCGGTCTCCTGCCCCTCCCCACACCCCTCCGCCCGTTACATATCCATGGCTGCTCGATAACAATGGGCTTCAGTACAAACGTTGCGCCGTTGTGGGCAGGTCACAAAAAATCTTCTCCCAGCAGACTGATTGGTGAAATACTTAAAATTTCTTGGAGCTCTGTCACAGCGATCCACGTCTGTGAGCGTCTGTCGGCCTCCGTCGCCCGCATCTGCCTGGGGCACCGCTGTTCAGTCAGCGTCCCTCATAGCCCTCTCCTGTGCTGCAGATGGCTTCGGAGGCGCTCGAGCAGGCGAACCTGACGGAGAACGTGACGGACGGGCCCGATTACTGCGGCGCCGGCGTGGCGGCATTCAGCCGGGGTTACCGCCAGCTACACGGCTACCTGGCGCTCTGCGTCTGCATCTTCGGCCTCACCACCAACATCCTCAGCATCGTGGTGCTGACGCGCAAGACCATGGTGTCGCCGACCAACGCCATCCTGGCCGGCCTGGCCATCGCCGACATCATGGTCATGGTCATGTACGTGCCGTTCACGCTCAACTACTATCTTCAGGCGTTTGGCGAGGCCAGCTTCAGCTACAGCTGGGCCGTGTTCATGCTGACGTACGTGCACGTGACGCAGGTGTTCCACACCGTCTCTATCTGGCTGACGGTGGTGCTGGCCGTGTGGCGGTATGTGGCGATCGGACACCCGTCGCTGAACCGAGAGTGGTGCTCCATGAAGAACACCTCCGTGGCCATCGTGTCCGCCTACATTTTCTGTCCGATCCTTTGCATCCCATCCTACCTCACTTTCGCAATCACGCCCATGGGAAACTTCACCGACCGCTTCGTGGTCGGCTTCAGCGACCTGAGCAAGGGCAATGACAAGTTCTTGGAGAAGTTCAACTTTTGGATGTACAGCGTGCACGTCAAGCTGCTCCCGTGCATCATCCTGACCATCTTCAGCTGCTGTCTGATCAGCGAGCTCATGAAGGCGCGCAAGCGGAAGGTGGAGCTGCTGAGGAAGATGAGCGCCGGTCAGAGCAAGCAGTCGTGCGCCGAGCGTCAGGCGGTGCGCACCACGCGCATGCTGCTGGCCATCTTGCTGCTGTTCCTGCTGACCGAGTTCCCCCAGGGCATCCTTTCGCTGATGTCTGGCATCCTGGGCAAGGACTTCCTGGGGCAGTGTTACAACAAGCTGGGCGACCTCATGGACATCCTGGCGCTCATCAACTCCTCGATGAACTTCATCTTCTACTGCTCCATGTCCACGCAGTTCCGCTCCACGTTCCAGCACCTGTTCCTGACGAACCGGTGGGTGCCAGTGCCGCTGAAGCCGTCCTCCACCGCCGAACAGACAGACTGCACCCGGCTGTAGTGGCGCGGCCGCGCTGAGGCCGCGCGTGCGGCCGCGGCATCGGCCAGGAGGGCGAGGCTGCGCCTCCCGGCTCGCCGCCGCCGGACCCCCGCCGCAGACGCGTGGCCGAGACTGTCAGCTACGCTGACCGCGGCGACTCGGATGGCCGACGAGCCTCCCGGCGCCGGCCGCCACGCTCTTGGCAGTGTCCGGCAGAGACCTGGTGTGCGCCCGGCGGTCACGTGGTCGTGAGTCGCCCCCGGACGGGCGGGACGCTCGGCGCTGACGTCACGCCTGCGCTGCCCAATGAGAGCCCCTGCGATGGCAGCAGAGGTGATGCCAAATGACGGGCGCGGACTCGAGAATGTTCGCTGATCATTGCTGTTCTCCATGTGCTTGTCGCTTGGCTGTTATTGTGGAGCTGGCCACTGTGAAAAGCGAGCTTACATGTTACGGGGGATCGCGACTGTCGGCGAACTCACTGTCGGACCCAAAGGCGTTCTTTGAATTTGTGCTATTGTTCGCTCGGCTCCGAGCGCGCGTGCCGCGGTGCTGACGTTGCGCTGCATGGGCACCATTACCGCTGGAATCGGTCCAATTCATTGCGTATTCACAGTGTAGATGTGTCACACCTAATGCGATTTCTACGGTGATGCTGTGTGACTATTCCTTCGTTGTGTCACTGGACGAATGCAATGGTGCCTCCATCATGATGAGCCCGTGTGAGGGACGATTGCATAAGGAAGGTTCGGTGGCCCTTTCTGCGCTCTGCTCTCCTTTCTGCTGTTAGCTGTTGCTTTGATTGCGTGAGCATCTGTCCCCGTCCCCACTCCTCCCCCGCTGATCAGGTCACTGCCTGAAACTGGTCTGGCCTTACATAAGGTTCACGGTGTTCCCGGATTGTCTGTGCGGTCCTGTTAGCGCTCTCTAGCGGCCTCCTGAGAGCATTGTTAAAATCTGGTGCTGTGCGGTGGTTAGTCTTCTCAAGCCTTCGTTTGCTTCCTCATTTGGCGCTCTGTCATGCTTGTCGATGCCCCGGTGAATTGTATGCTGCCAAATTAGTCATTTTTCAGCCCAGATCGCTTGCGCGCTTTACCTGGAAGCAAATGCTTCTTTATTCGCTATCTTACTTGCGCAAACTGCACTGGCACGATAACTTCTTGTTGGAGTTCTGCAGGCGTACTGTTCCGTAGCACATTGCAATGGAAACCGCCAATCAAAGGTCATCCATTAATTGTGTTACGCATGCAGGGGAAGGGTTTTGATGAAGCATAACAGACGCGCAACAAGGAAAGGCGGAGGGTTGAACAGCGCAACGTTGCAATCAGGTGTAGGTGAAAATCATTATAAAATATGTAAAAACAAATGCCAAGCATACGGCCGGATGCTGCCGGCTTCTGTTATGACAAGAAGCACGCCCGGTATTTGTTTCGCGTATCTAGCTCAGTTAGAGACTGAACAGACATAAAGTTAAGCAAGCGTAACCAGGGGAGGTTGTTTTGTCCTGGCGTAACCAGTGCGTAACCAGTGGGGAGGGAGGGTTCACAGTTTTTAAAGATGCGTAATTTATGGACGGCCCCAAAGCGGCTGGATTTCCGTCAGCAGATGGAATCCCGCAAACGAAAATCCGGTCTGACTCGCTGATCGCCGTCGCCTGTCGCAGACGTATGGCCAATGCCAAGATAAGTCGCCGCAGTTGTGCCGGTGCTAATGTTCTGACGCCATACCATGCATCGTCCCAGTGTCATGACGTCACGTCATGACGCCATGACTCTGGACGATGATTCGGCCCCAGCACGCGCCGCTGATGCTCACGCAGTCGATGCGCACGACTCCGGCGGATTTTTTCCGTCCTTCCTCTTCGGCTCTCGAGGTGACACTACGAAGCCTTTAGTTGGTGTGGTGCATGTGATAGCGAAGGAGACGGTTGATGGCGAATGAATACGTGATTGTGCACAGCGAATGAGAAACGTGACGGACGGTGATCAGTGAGAAACGCGACGTGTGATGTGAACTCAGCCTATGTGCTGTGGGAGGCTGTTTCAAAGCTGGGTTAAGGCGGTGTAACATGGAGTTGAAGGGCTGAACTAAGCTCCTCTGAGCTCCAAAGCTGATCTGTGAAAAGCTGAACCGGACTGTGCTGCCGCCAGTGGCAGCTCGAAGTGTTGCGCGTCTAGCGCTGGTCTTTAGGAATGGCTCTCCAAACAGCAAATATTTCGCGCACAAGTCCTCACGCTTTAGAACAACGATGCAGCCAACCATGTAGCAAAGGATGGCACTGGGTATACAATGGATTTTCCTTACAGGCATTTTCCTTACTGGCTGTAATAATGCGACAGAATCATGACATGTGCAATAGTCTCATGATATCAGAATGCCATGAAGTAATATGATATATCATGATATGAAAGGTGATACGCTTTGTTGAGTATTTCAAAACATCATGACACACGTCATGCTTTACACTTGACAATAGCTTATGCTGCATTATCTTACCCTTGCGATACCAACACGCTACACGCACATATCCGGTGAAAGAAAAGAATAGGCTGCAGGTACCTGATTAGATAAACTTGCCAAGAAAAATGTATACTTGACAGGGTATGATGTGTATGGAAATCGATATAGGCTAGGCTGGTACACCAAGCACGCATGACGCCTCCGAGAAACATTCACGATGATAGTAGCAACATAAAATGCCAAGACAAACAAAATAGATAACACTCTGCTCATGACGTATTGGCATTTTGTTTGCATTCGAAGACCAACTGCGGTTGACATGAAGATAATGTACATCAACTAAGGGGTTGGTGTAGCCTGCTGCTTGCTGCCCTGCTCTCGTTACTGGGGACGTTTGTTTTCTCTTTATCTGAATGCTCTCGGTGTCCAATAAATAACATAATAATCATGTGTGTCTGCCCTATGCGCGGTCATAATGGTCTCGCACCTATTGGCCAGCTTCACGGCAAACCACGGGCCTGTGTGGTGATAAGGCACAGATGTTCTCAGATCACAAGGTGAATGGGTATCTGATAGTTATCAAATATAGTTAACAAATCTTGAAACATTTCTGTAAATGTTTAGACTTTGGAATAAGGTAATCAAACCGACAAAACCTTGATCATGAATCAGGGATGTTACTGGGATTTCATGCATAGATATTTATTGCTAACAGATAATTCGCAGGTCTATACCGTTGTTTCGGTGATTCAATCCGATCATTTGAAAAGCAAACCGTCGAAAATGATATACAGCCTCGGCCGCCGGGCCGGGAATAACAGGCTCCGTGGTATGGTTACCCTTCCGTTGACGATGGCCCGCCTTACTCTATTTTGGAATAAACACTGGTGAAATTAAGTGCAACGCAACATTTCAACATTGAAAAATTATGTTTTGTAATAACAGCGCGGCCATAACTAGGACAATAATCATGATGCGTCTCAACATTACGACAGGGGATCTGCATTTGAATGTTGTGTTCCCGAAATGACGTGATGCTTCAGTAACCTGAAAAGTTAGTAGCTTGGACCTGTCAGTGATGCCTAGCCAATAATTAATTTGCTTCACACATTCATACTAAGTTTTTCGACTGAATCCCCAAGTGGCAATCGCCAAAACGGAGCAATGTCTTCGGTGGTTAATGCTTGCTTGACCAGTTAAATACTGGCCGCTACTTGTTTTACCAGTTCAGAGGACGCCTCTTTCCGACAGCGTGCGCAATCGCATGCCTACGAATCTGTCTGCAAGCACAAAAACCTGTCGGGGAGGCTTTCCAAACGCACCGGGGATAAACATCGTGCTCTGGTTCTCAAGATAATGGTAAGGTGTGCGGTCAGAGGACAGCTCAGTAGACGTCTTGCGAGCCTCACGCATCAGCCTGAAACACCTACTGACCCAGGATTACAATCGTCCCGACGTATGTATTGAATACGCCACTGCGACGGCATGCGAGCCTACCCGACGTTCTGCCCCAGATTGACTTCATGGCGCTTCGCAGAAGCGAAAGCCCTCCTCCCACGCTCTCTCGAACGCGTGAGAATGACGTCGCGAGGATGTCGGCGGCGCCTCGTCCGCACAGTCAGGAGGCCTGAATGGAAGTGATTTGCTGTATCGAGCTCGAGTGAGCCAAGTTCGTGGAATCGGTCGGTGCTCCGCGACAGATAACCTCGACAGGGCCCAGCCTGCCGCGTGCCACGCTCCGACCGGCTCCCGCAGCAGGCACCAGATTTCTCCCTGCCATTATGAGGGTGCATCGTTTACCTCATTTTCATGTGTCGTGAATTTAGCTTCAATAATGAACCTATCCTAACACACATTGCAACCTAAAGTGTGGCAGGTCTTTTCACGTTAACTTGATCATTAGGTTGTGTCATCAGTAACAAAACCACGTGAGACAAAGATATTCTTTGGCGCAGGAGTCCAAAAGTACACGGCATAGCAAAAGTTCTTCCCAAAAACTTAAATTTGTGAGGCGCGAGTCGATCGAAATTTCGCCGTAAATCGACACCCGGCGTTGCAGTCATCCCATGCTGGGCGGCGTCCGCCACCGCAGGTAACACCAAGCCGTAGGCGGCAAGGGACACAAAATACCTTTGCGTTTAGAAATGATGCTACCGGGCGCTCGTTATGCTGTCGAACGAAAATGTCCCGGTCTAAGGTCTAATATGGGGGTCAGACATTGCCCGATTAATTGTCATTTGGTGGAGACTTTATTTGCTGTTGAGTATGAATTCGTATGAGCATGCTGGCTAGCTTTGCTTTAGACTTTCGCTGCTCTAAGGCAACTCACCACACCCTTTGATGACACACCCTATTGATCATACATGAACCTAACTTAGTACCAAATCTGAAATGCGCATAAACCACGAAAAATATGAGAAAATCTATGGAATTCGTCAGGTATATCAGAATAACCGGATGATGCTCCTGAAACGTCCGGGTGTGTTGACGTGAGCCATAGCTGGATGATGTCCCCCATGAAACGTTTTTGTGTTTGCCCATTGTGTAACTATTCGTCGCTT